TGAGGTTTCGGAATCTATAATCCGAAACCCGAAACTTTCGGATTTGGCCAAAAAGGTTTCGGGTCCCATCTCTAGTTAATGCTTTATTTCTTCTAATCTAAGATTATTCCCATTCCCGTTAAGGTCCAGAAAAGTACGTCTGCTAATGGTTTTCTTCCTTTTGATCTAGAATAATTACTAGCAAAATCGCTAATGTCTTCACAAATCTAATTATCATAAAGACCTAGAGAATTTAGGATAGTGTTTTTATAAAGGGCCTTTATTAATGTTTCTCGCCTTTATACACAAGTTGACAACTATTAAAATTCAAAGAAGTCATAGCAGAATTTTTACAAGCCTTTAATAATGTTTTCACTCCTTCAAAGCAAAGTTGACATTTGTTAAAAGTTCAAATAGTCAACCCAGAATTTTTACAAAGATTTTAAGTATTAATATTTACCGTATAACCGCGAAATAACGCGCAGGGGGGTAATTTCAATTTTCGGCCTAAATTAAGCTTAATTCGGGCCAAAATTCAAAATAACGTCCCTGTGCGTTATTTCGCGGTTATACGGTAATTACAAATGGCATTATCAAGATTTATATGTTTTAAGACTTTTCCAATTCGTAAAACATTGCAATAATGAACATTTAGCAGCACCTTTAAGCTTAAATCCTATTTCATCTCTTTTAATTTCTAATTCTAAAGACAAATCATCTATGACATAACTTGTATTTCAAATAGTGGTTTTAGGTGGTTCTTTTAAAAGGAATTAATAAAGTTTGTCCTTCAACTTTCAACGTTAACTGTTAAAAGAAATGTTCTTATAAAGTTTTATATCCTTAAAATGGTGACTCGGTTCCCTCCATAAAACTGATATGATGATTCTACACAAAATGAAAGTTTACGAGTGCACATGAATGTAAGCTTTTTGAACTAGTAGGATTTGATTAAATATTATATGATAACATTCGATCGGTAATATCGATAATGTTATCATGTTGAAAATTACAAAATTTTTAGTATGCACGGATACACGTACCTTTTTCTGTCCATAAGGATTAATTTCGATTGTACCCCGAAATTTTGAAGGGTATTATTGTTATGAAAAAAGTAAAACGATTAAAAGCAAGTTCTAATATGTGTTTTTTTTTATTGCGGTTTGCAAAATTATGTGAAATTTGCAGACTAAAAAAAAAAGAAAAAAAAAAAAAAAAAGAAATCGATAATTTTTGATTTCCGATTTCTTAATTTTTTTTTGCAGAAATAGAAGTTGTAGATTCATTATCTGTAACATATTTGATTAGTATCTTTTATAATTTGCATATTCAATATGCTGTGAAGAACTTGATCATGTATTATTAAATTTTATTTCTTCTTTAGCCCGATAAAATTTACATATTGCATGATGAGAATTTAAAATTCAATCTTACAAGAATTATTACCGTTATAGGCGCGTTATTCGGGACGCGCATGCGCGATAATTCGAATCAGTATGCTAATTTTGAAAAAAATTTCACCTATTTTCTTGAATGATAATCTGGTACATATGGAGGGGTGCGTTATTTTGAGACGCGCATGGGCGTTATTTTGAGTCAAATATGCCATTTTTAAAAAAATCGAAATTTCGAAATAACGCCCATGTGCGTTATTACGCGCCTATACGGTACATGATTCTAGAAAATTAATTTGTTTATTACTGAAATATCAAAAAATTTCAAAGTAAATGCATAAGGAACTTTGGTATAGTTTTTTTTTGCTGGAAATATAGATTACTATATATTTAATTAGTATACTTTTTTTTTTAAAAAAAAAGAAGCTCTTTTCTAATGACCAAAATTATTATCCTGGAACATGCTTTGGATGCACAAAGTGTCTTTTTTGTATAACATCTAAAACACATTAGTTGGTATGCATACGAAATGTTAAAAATCGGAAATCATCGATTTTAAGAAATAAGGTAATTTCACAACGGATGAACTACTGTAATGGACATTGTGGCGTATATCATAATTAATTATGCACTCTGCAATCCAATAACTACTTTTTCCAATTCCAAATAATCTTTCATCATATTTTTATAAATTGAAGTATTTTCTTGTCTTGGTTGTGCCACCAATTCATCATCACCTTCGAACACCAACATTTCACCGATATCAATATCTAATTGATTATCTTTCACAAACTTACTAAAAGCCAATCTAGCTTTAATTGCAGCACCTAACGACGCGCTATTCCCAACATTACATCTCCAAACCTGTACTCCAAAAACATCTGCTAATACCTGTAGCATTTCATCATTTTTACTTGCACCTCCAACCACTAACACCTTCCTAATCGTTCCATCTACTTTCCTATCGTTCATCATTAGTTGATCAACCCTTAATTTCATAGACATAAATTGTGACTCAATTACAGTTCTAATATTGTGCTCCGGCATATCTTGAAATTCTTCAACGATGCGTTTGTTGGAGAAACGATAAACGCCCTTAGCAAATGGAATAATTTCTTGATTCAAAAAATAAAATCCATATTTATTTGGATCTGGAGATGAAGTTTTAAGAATTTCATTGAACCATTTCCATTTCATAGAAGAATCACTAAATTTTTCACAATCTCGATTGTTTTCAGTGTAATATGAGTCTCTAACGTATTCTCTCGTTAAACTTCCATTCTTATAACACAACATAGAAATATATAAATCTTTATTAACTGGATGGCATAATGTGTGTGATTCAAGTGTTGGATGAGAAATTTCTGTATAAAACAGTACTGTGTCTGATGTCCCTAACGAAATTACCACATCACCCGGTGATAGGTTAAGAGAGAGAAGAGTTGCAGGATTGTCACCGGTGAATGGAATTATTTTACAATCTAGGTAAAAATTAAATCATTAAATTAAATTTTTTTAAATTACAAATTTATTACATTAAAATAATAAAACTACCTCTACTAAATTCGTATCTTTTAACGAAATAATCACTAATATTCCCTAGAATTTTTAATCCATCACTTTCAGGAACTCCAAGTTTCATCTTTAATTCTTCATCAAATTTAACTTCATTTTCACTGGTGCCAGCAGAATATTTGCCACAAATATTTAATAATCTATCATCCCAATTTTTTTTATTAATGTCAAGTAAATTCATTCCTGAACCATCCGCAATATCAATGGGAGCAAAATCACCAAGAAATATTGATGCTAGAAATGAGCTAACTAGAGATATCCTGGAGGTTTTTTTATATTGAGATGGAGATTTAAGACAAATCTAAAAGGAATATTTATTTAAAAATATTTTACAGCGTATTAAAAATCACAAGTAATAAATTTTAACTTAAATAATAACCTTTGAAATTTGATTACCAGTGAGCCTTTCAAATCCTCTAGACCCGCTTATACGTGTCAATACATCTGGACCACCAATTAATTTTTCCAAATTTTTACATTGCAGTGAAGTACTTGAATCCTGCCAAGTTGGAGAATTTGGAATTGAAAACACTTTATTAGATTCTAGTTGAGTGGCTAATGAATATGATGGATTTAGTGTGTTTAAGGTATGCTGTGAAGTATTAGACCAGTATACACTTCCATGTTGCTTTTTATTTTAATTAAAAAAGAAAGTGAGTTAATTTTGAAGAAGTTAATTTTGATGGAGAACTTTTGAAACAAATCATCAACCATATACCTGTGCAGTCCCAGAAATTGCTTTAACTTTAAAGAAAGGAAACCCTTGAGATTGAAGTTTTTCAAGCAATAAATCTATAGATTCTACCCACATCATTGTAGGACATGTCACAACATTTTCATTTTCTATTACTCCATTTTTTATTCTGTGTTTGAGATTAATTTAAAGAAAAACCAAGTTTAATTTTTCTTTTCTAGATATTAATTTACAGAAACATCGTGATCCAAGTGTAAAAATACACATACCCATAATGACCTAACTCATTATCAAAATGTACAAATTCTTCAAATACTATATGGCAATTATCATTTATAACCGTAAGTTTCAGTCGTTGTGTTGATAAATCTAAGCCGATATAAAGGTTTGATTCATTTTTTAAAAGATTTAAGCTCATTTCTCCTTTTTTATAGCAGAGATGAAACCTTTTAATTTGAATATGTGAGCTTCTGATCCTAAAATAAAAATAAAAAAAGCAAATTAATGGAATATGAATTGCCAGTCTTTTTAACCAGTATTCAAATTTCAAAACCATTATCTGGAAATACTTCGTATTATACAGTTTTTCGTTTTTTGATCCGTTCAATTTAATGTACAGTATTATGTATGTCAACTAATATATGCGAGAACTCCAATCGGGGTGACATATAGTGTTGCTTTTCTAAGAGTCAAAACATACCTTTATCAATTCTGAGATCCTTCTTCAAATTGATGTTCTAATTTGATCTATTTTTATCATCGGATATTTATCACAGAGCCGTTTTTGTATGTGATCCGATTAGCATAATATGATCTACCTATTTATGCAAAAGGTTACATAGCTCTGTAGTTTTTATTGTACGATCCACTCGTGCTAATGCTCAGCAAATCAAAATTAGCCATCGAATTAATTTTGTAACGCATTATATTAGGGATGGCAAATGATTTTAAAAACCACGATTGTTTGATTTTTAATTGTTTAAGAATGTTTTTTAATATATCATGTCACGATTATTAAATTATATCGATCTATCATTAAATAGTATCTATTGATTACTAACGCTAAGAAAAAAAAATAAAAATAAAATTATTGCGAATATCTATCTCGTGTAAGACATCCTTTGAAAGAAGTTCGTTTAAACTTTATAAAAGTTACTGAAATTGACAAGTGTGATCGAACGACAACTCGCCAAAAGTGTATTCATTGCGAAGAGGACTTTGTTGATTCAATCAGTCAGTTAAAGGAACATTTAATAAAAAGTGTAAAAAACTTCCAAAAAATGTATTGATTAAAATTCAAGACTCTGATTTTATGATAAACAAATTATTCATTTAAAAATATATACAGTATAACTAAAATTTTAAATTTAATTAAATAATTAATTTTAATTTTAAAATCATTATAATTTATTATAAAACGCACCTATGGTAGTTTTGCGCTTGTCGTATGTTTTATTTGTTTAGATTTTTCTGTTTAAATTTAAAAATTTTCAACACAAAATTTTCATGTTAATGTTGGTATTTAGTGTTAAGGTCAGGGTTTGGGAGGGTTTTTAGGGGCGTAAAGCATTTTTACTTAGGACATCTTGCGTTGATTAAGTAAAACACCATAGGTGCGTTTTGGTAAAAGTCATATTTTATTACACTCCATATAATATACCGTATATTGAAAAAGATAATGAAAATTAAAAGAAAAAATCTACTGAATAATTGATTAATAATTGCTATTGAACATTGTACTAAAATTTATTTTGCATTGAAATTTGATAAATGAATTCAATGAATACAACGCTAAAAATTTATTCCGTCTAAACTACATAAAAAATGTAGATTACTTTTTAACTACTTGAAACACTTCATAATCCTCAATATGTGCGTTTTGAAAGCTAATATAATTATAATATCCAGTGCCACCATTAGATACATAGTTTCCACTAATACATAAATCACCAAAAAACGGTTCATAACTACTACTACTGTAACGAATTACATTCGTTACTATGTGCGAAATATCATCCCGTGTTTAAATTTTTTTTTATTTTATTTTATTTTATTATTATATCATTATTTTATTTTATATTAGTATTATTTCGTATATGTACATAGATTACCCCACCAATTCCATTTTGATAACAATACCTGTGTGTATTATTAATTTCATTACGTTGTAAGTGTCTTAAATCCATTATACTAAAATGGAAGTGGCTGAGGGGCTTAGACGCGTGGAAGACAAATGTATTGACCATACGCGGAAACTACCGCGAAAGCGCGGTCATAACAGTAAACGCGTAGTTGTAACAGTAAAAACGTCAGAAATGCCGCGAAACCATTGAACCTATAAGGGCAAAGTTGAGAATTCAGCGAAACTGTTGTAATTCTTTAAAATGTATATAAGACCTCTTGATTTTAATAAAGTCAAAAAAGTTCCACGTCCTTCATGAAAATAAAATAATAAGTAGTAACGTAAAAATACTTATCGATTATAAATTTCGGCTTTAAATTTAATAAACCATTTCGTAACTCAATTCGACGGACTGAATTGACTAGTAACCTCGATACGGCTTATTAAGACTCGAAATTCGGTCACGTGATTTTGTACGGAAGTTCTAACGACCCTAGCATCACCATAAAAAAATGGTAGCCGGACAAAATTTGCCGGGTTACACATAATTTCGGATGCATTA